GGGGCTAGAGTTCAGTAGGAGCCCAGACTCCCATCTGCTTGTCCCTGGAGTTTGCACGTCTCGGGTTTACTTTGGCGGTCATATGATGACAAAATCAAACCCCATCGGACCAACTACACCATCAGCAGCAACATACAACCAACCAACCAACAAAACACCCCAAACCAACTAAAGGCAGGAAAACAAAACCTATAGAAACAAAAAAGGAAAACCTTGTCAATCCTCCCCCGGGGGTGTATTGCACTGAGAGTATCATCAATGTTCCCAGTGACCCAGCACTGCAGACCCTGTCGCTGTGAAGCGTCTATGGGAGGGCAGGTGCGCTGTGAGCCGCACCCATGAGCTGTTGCCCTACACAGTTCCAGCTCCTATTTCATTGAGCTCTGTTGACCTTATGCACGGGGCTTTGGTGCCAGGGGGGAACTTCCCGGATCGATTTTTCCAAATTCAGATCCCTGCCCAACAGATCCAAACCTGTCATGTCACTGTGAGGGGGGTATGGAGGTACTAACTACATGCTGGGTATCTTTCCACCAAACACCCACTGAGCCAGGGGTTCCCCACAAGGTCCAATGACCACCACTTCCACAGCCCCAGGGTGGCCACTCTCTGCTTCCTCTTCCATCCGAATACCCCAGTCCTCAGTCCAAGGGTGCAGGCAACTTCGAGGCAGGCTCAGTTCATTCAGCTGGGCCTCTCTGCGAAGTCCTCAGAGGCTGTAACTCGTTACGGGAGTAGAAAGCCCCGTCTTTCTCCCTTTGACAGGCAGGTCATTTCAAATTCGGACCTTTTGGATCACAGCCCAACATGTCACCACTCTGCCACCAAAGCTTCTAGTCCAAGCCTTTTGTTCCACCCAAGGATTAAAAACTCAGTTTTGTTTGAGTTTAACGGCCTCGCCCTGTTTCCTTCTAATCCATATATGCTTGGGGGGTGGGGGAGATTAGAAAATAATTAAGACAGACTTTCCTGGGAGTTCTGTTTCCTTTGTAAAACTTTGATGGGAAAAAAAAAAAAAACTTTGATGGGATCTTCAGGTGTGTAATTGATCTCTAGGGCACGAAGGCTTCGCCATAATCTTTCCTGCGTGACACTTCGATCGTGGTCTCCTTCTTTCATGGCCAAACCAAAGAATCGAGTCTTGGCATCGGCTCACTATCAAGTGACACTTGGAGAGCCGTACAACATCCGGGGCCTCAGGGCCTCTCGCTCCTTTCATCCCTGCCCCTGTCAGGTCCGTTTTCCATACGCCTCTCCACTCCCTCCGCTCTCTCTGTGACTTTCCCAAGCCCTTATTCTATCGTCCTCCCTCTGGGAAAGACGCCCTTTATCCGCATGGTGATAAAGGGTGATCTGTGGTATTGGCCAGAGGTGTGGAGCAGATGCATCTTAGCGGAGAAAGTAGAACAACTCCTCTTAAACCTCTTATCTCTTGAGATTCCGTCGATAGGGAGCAGTTTCATACAAACAGAACCAGAATGTTCCCCCCGCCCAGTGGCTCGGAATGCGGTCTCTGCAGCTGCAAGTGGAGTGACTGCAGGCAGGTCACCCAGGCTCCTGGGTCTCTTTCTACATCCGGAAAGGATCCTGAGACAGTAGTTAGTTCCAGTGTTGGGAAGGATTAAATCCAAGACTCTGATAGGAGGAGTCCGGGGGTTGGGGGAGAGGGGGGCACACACTCAGCGTGACATACGGACAGGTTGGCTTCCGCAGGGGCGTCTTAGCAGGAAGTCCTGTAGTTAACCATTCCGAGGATTGACCCCATGGAGGCAGCCAGAGCCTCAGGACAAGATGCTTACTGCACAATGGTCGCGACACTGCCCCCCGCCCTCCCCACCAACTGGAAACCGTAAAAACCCATCAAAAGAAGACTCATTGAATCCATGCGGTAGCCCCTCAAGAGGGAACTTGTTAGGCAGACGTGGAGCGGGAGCACTGCACAGCTGGCTTCCCCCCCACCCCCCGCCAGGGTCCCCAAGACAACCGCAGCCAGAACAGAGCCAACCCATGGCGCGCTGCGGTGGAGCTGGCTCCAGCTCAGAGCCTCCCAGAGGGCCGAGCAGAGCCACGGACAACGCCACGGAGCCCCATCCTACCCTTGACACACGGGGTTGCCTTGAGTCAGGGTCTAGGGCAACTGTCTCCGTGTTTGTTGTTGTTTACAGCGAGTGCTTAAAAATGCCAGCTCCCGCTGTGGTTATGATCCCCTTAATACACAATGCACATCTCTCTCAGCCAATACCGTCTCTTCTGAGCCACCTGAAGGAGGCTTGGCAGAGCAAGGGTCCCATGTTCGGCTGTAAACCCAAAGGTTGGTGATGGGGACCCATTAGCCCTCCACTGAGGAGAGATGAGGCAGTGTGCTGCCTCTGGAGAGGCTGGCAGCCAGGGACGCCCTGTGGGGCAGCTCTGGGGTGGGCCTAACAACGGCTGTGGGTTTGCGGGTTGTGTTGCTCTTGTGGTCATTCTTTGTTCTTTCCGGACCCTTCCTGCCTTCTGAACTGCGTCCTTGGGCAGATGTTACCCTTTTGTCTCAAGGGGTTGTTCTCAGGAGTGCGAACGCCCCTGGTGTTATTGTTTACAGTATACGCCTGTCTATCATTTAGCGGAAAACTGAGTCATGGTGGGGTGAGTTCAGTTTGGGTTCCCACGGGGGTTTTACCGGGTGGATTTGGGGGAAGTAGATTCCCAGGCCTTTCTTCCAAGGCACATCTGGTGGACGCCAACCTATTGGTCAGAAGCTGAGCTCTTGGAGTAGGGGTGAAAATACATCCAGCCAAGCAGGTTCCCTTCCCGCCATCTCTGTACATAGTGTTTGACGGCATCGCTTGCACTTTCCATTTTGGGACAGCAGTATTGTGTTTCCCACCAAGACTTGTTCCACTCTTGAGTGATCATCACTGATTCCCACATAGCTCATCTAGGAGTTCAAGCCTCCTACTCCTGGAAAGCCGCCCCTGGGAGCATAGTGCTTATGCGTTGGGCTGCTGACCTTGAGATCAGCAGTTTGAAACCACCAGCCCTCTGCAGGAAAAGGATGAGAGGAGGCTCTCTGCTCTTATACAAAGTGCCAGTCTCAGAAACCCACGGGGGCAGTTCTACCCTGTCCTAAAGGGTTGCCAGGAGTCAGAATCGACAACTGGTGGCAGCGAGTTTGGTTTGACTTGGTTTACTTCTTGAAACGAGCCCTGGTGGCACTGAGAGTTAGGCATTGGGTTACTAACTACAAGGTTCGTAGTTCAAGCCCACCAGCTGCTCTGAGGGAGAAAAATGAGACTTTCTGCTCCCATAAAGGTTTACAGCCTCAGAAACCCTATATAGGGCCTCTATACATTGGAACCAACCCTATGGCAGTAGATTCCCCGCCCCCCTTTTTCTTTAAGGTTATTTCTTCAAATGTTAGCTGCTTCTCACTGAGGTCTTCCTGGGGTTTCCCATTAAAAGCCTACCCCACCCCACTCTTCCCACTGTCTCTTATTGTGTTTTCCTTCCACACAGTGACTCCATGTACTTCGAACTGCAGGGTTTTCTGGAACACCAGACTTTCCTTTTAAAACAAGGCGAGCCTGGGCTCGGCTGCCCTATTGCAGCACGTCGCATCTCCCACATGCTTACGTTGGACCGACACGTGTCGCTGTCGTCCCGCTGGGACGCAAGCTCGCTAAGGGCAGGTGTTTGGGTCTGTCTCAGTCACCAGGTATGTATGGGAAACCTGTTTGGCTCCTAGTAGGTGCTCAGGGAATCATTGTTGAAGGAAGAAACAATGGAATGCTCTCAAGGCCAGCCTCTTCCCAGGGGACTGTGGTTTTCTTTTGTTGTTGTTGTTTGTTGTTTGGTTCCCACCCATACCACTCTTTGGACAACAGAATGAAACACTGTCACGGCTTCTTCAAACGCCCTCCTGCAGCGAGCTGACTTCGGGGAGCCCCCGGGGACTGACAAACTGCTGGGCTCAGAATGAGGCAAGGACTATGTTTGGTCCATTTCCCCCACCTCTTCCAAGGCATTGCTGGGGTGGGGAGGGGGGATGGCTGAGGGGGTTGGGGCCCAGGCTGGGACCCCGTCAGGCATTCTGCTGCCCACTACCACCCCCTAGTGGTCCCTCATGAAACAGCAGCTTCACTCACCATCCAGCGTCCAAAGGAGGGGGGCTCCCCGCTCTCGGATTTCCTCTCACCAAATCCCTCAGTTTCCACTTTGCTCCCCTCGCTCTTTCCTCCACCCGGCCCTGTCCCACGCCACCCCTCTTGGCCTGCCCTGTGACCCTGCTACCTCATGGCAGGAGCTTTGGCCTCAGTCCACTGAGCTAAGGCCGAGCTCTGGGAGTAGCTAGCTGTGCAACACTGAACCAATCGCAGAACCTCTCTGGGCCCAGTATCTTTATCTGGAAGATGAGCGTTCTCACTCCTGCGAGGGAAATGGGATCAGCGCAGAGAACAGCCAGCTCAGGGACGGGCCCCGCAGGTGTTTATTGGTGGTTGGCCTTGCACCACACTGGGCAGTGCTCGGTCACCAGCAGGTGTTTATTGGTGGTTGGCCGTGCACCGGGTAATGCTTCTCACTGGTGGTCTGCCCTCTTTCTCCTTCCGGGTACTCAGGCTGCACACGAGATGGGGATGGCATGTGGGACTCCTGAAAGAGCACAGGGCTTCCCACTTCTAGACTAATTAGCTAATTAAATCAGACGTTGGTGGGGGGAGGCAGGCATCCCCAGTGATGTCAATGCGCAGAGCTGGGGAGGCTCGCTGGTTGACGCGGTCCTGGGTTATACGCTGGACTTTTACAGTTTGAGCCCTGAAAGTTTCGGGGTCCAGCAATTCCTCAACCCCCCAAACCAGGGCCCCTGGTCACTCCTTTCCCAAGGTGTGAATCCCTGTTTTCTCAATCCCAAATCAGGGCACACAGTCTAGCATTTGAAAGCAGAAGCGGAAGGGTGGGTCTGGAGGACCACGGGTCAGCGGTGGCAGAGGGAGGGCGTGTGGGGAGAGGTGGGCCAGGCGAGCCAGCAGCGGCCACTCAGTCAGACAGGTCCCCTTCAGTCCCGTCGGGGCTTTGGCCGCGGGCCGCTCGCTCCACAGCCTGTGCCCAGCGGTCCCTCAGCTCCTTGGTCTCAGCTTTGAACGTGTACAGCTGGCCCGACTGTTGCAGCTGGAAGACCCGGGGGTCCATCTGGGGCCCAGCAGTCACCTGGTAGCCCAGCAGGGGGATGGAGGTGTGAGCCCGTGTGTCCTGGGGGAAAGGAGAGGGAAGAGCAGTGGACCACTTCCCCTAGCCCACCCCTCTACCCTGCCCACTTCTCAGACCCTGCTTTTCACATCCCATATGCCCATGAGGGACGGGGTGAGCTTCTAGGAGGACAGTGAGGAAGAGGAGAGAACAGAGCACCCACTGAGGACAGAGGGCAGCTGTGCCCTGGAGTCTGGCCCCAGTTCTGAAACCCGTGAACACTGTGACTCGACTGTGCCACATCCGCACTGTGCCTCAGTCTCCTCAACTAACGTATGGAACCTGCAGTGTACCCCCATCCCCACCCCGACACACAGACATGCACATGCACACACACATACATACACACACGCACATACACATGCATGAGCACACACATGCATATAACATGCACACACACAATGCAACATAAACACATGTACACACACATACATATGCACACACATATACATACACACGTACACACCTACACACATGCACACATGCATGTGCACACATACACATGCATATAACACACACATGTACACATACATACACACATGCACACATAAATACACACCACACACGCACACATATATGTACATACACGTACATATACACACATGCATGCAAACACGCATATATACACACATACAGACACATGATGCAACATACACACATGTACACATGCATGCATACACACATACACCCACGATACATATACACACCAACATACAGCACACACATATACACCACATACACATGTACACACACATACACATATACATGTGCACACACATACCCCCCCACATACATATACACATGCACACACATAAACCACATACATATAGATACACACACATACACCACATGCACATACACATGCATACACACATACACACACACACAGTTCGAAGGCAAGGAGCCAGGGGGCAATACCTGTGGGGCAGCGTAGATGTAGAGGACGAGGGGGTCGTCCCAGGGGATGACGGCCCAGGCCCGGGGGCCGCTCCTGTCCCACTTGCCCCCGAGAAGCTGCAGGAAGCCGCACATTAGGCCCTGCTCCGATGCTTTCTGAAACCAGAGCGAGGGGAAGTCAGGGGCCCCAGCACCCAACGCGTATCTGACAGACCCTGTCTGGGCCCTCAACAACCATGATTTCAAAATCTTGCCAGGAACCCTACAAGGAAGGGCTATTTGTCCCTGAGGCACACCGAGGGCCCGGCATGTCTCTGGATGGAGCTGCACCTCATCCAGCCTGAACCCCTGCAAGTGCCAGCTGCCTGTGAGCAGCCAGGCTTACAGGCTGGGTGGGATAAGGGCCCTCTCTCCAGGGGCGCTACAGCTCTGAGTGCCAGGGCCCAAGTGGGAGGGTTGGAAGAGGGTGGGTGGCCATGAGAAGGGACCCATTTGGACCTGGGAGTGGAGCTCAGCTGGAGTAGGCCAAATAGGTGCTTCTCTCACCTCCCAGGGGCAGTGGGGTGTCCGCCCGGCCTGTGGGGTGGCGGCAATGGATGTCTGGGCTGGTTGGCACTGCATTTGTGGAGCAAAGCTGAGCCCAGCTGGTGCCCCAGCAGCAGCAACGGAGCAGCCTGGGGAGTGCCTGTGGAGGGGGCAGGCTCAGCGAGGCCCTGAGGCTGCAGAAAGGGCCCAGGGGCCAGGTACAGAGATCAGGTAGCTGGCTCCAGACTCACAGGGTAAGTCCAAGGGCAGAGGAGGAGAAAGGCCATCTGGACCCAGAAGTCCCTCCTGGTTGGAATGGCCCCTGCAGACGGCCTCTCCCTGGCAGGGAGACCCTGCCCGGGAGGGCCTTAATTTCCCTCTCTGCCAATGGAATCCGTGATCCCAGCCCCCTCCATCTCCTGGGACTGTTGGGACAGGGCGCAAGGACATGGGCAGGAACTGTTCACCGGAGATGAACAGTTATAATTGGACGGGACACCGAGGAGGGGCGGAAGAGCCTGGACAGCAGGTGGGGGGGCAAGCACGGCTTCCACTGGGTGATCAGCCTGCTGCTGTTTGCACTGGGGAGGGGCTGGGAGGGGACAGGACTGTGGGCAGAAGAGGGGAGGAGGGAGTGGGCGGATCGGTGCGCCCACATCTGGCAACTGGAGCATAGCTGAATGGATGGATTGGTGGTGGTGGTGGTGGTGGGGGCTCACCTCCAAGATGCCCCGCCTCTTGTCCTCCTTGTCCTTGGGGAGTATGTTCCCCGTGAGGAACACGTAGCAGTCACAGCACACGCGGTTGGGCCTGTTGTCGTCGTACTTCAGCTCGGCCCGGTACTCTGAGCACCTGGCACACACCACCTGCAAAGGATGGCCACCGAGAGGGGGCGAGGGACCTGAGCAAAGCCTGGGAGGGGGTGTCCACGGGCGGGGGTAGGGGGTGGGCAGGAGGCAAAAGCAACCAGGGCCAGAGGGAAGGCAGAAAGAGCTGTGGGAGACGGGTGTGGGCAGAGAAGGGTTATGCAGAGGGGTGCTGGAGAGCTCATACTGGGACTTGAAGCACCCCCGGCGCTGCTACGAGTGCCCTAACTTCTGTCCCCTTCCGACTCCTCTCTGGCGAGGACAGAGAGCCAGAACCCTGCTTTGTAGGATGCTTCAAGGCCAGACATCAAGCCCCGGGCCGGGTCACCAGGCCCCGGGGCTGGAAGATGGGAGGAGGCACTGGGCCCTGGGTTCTCTGATCACCTGGAAGTCACTTCTCTCGGGACTTTCTCCCCTCTGCCCTCTCACCTGGCTGCCAGCAACCACAGCCAGGCTGTCTGTTCTCCTGCCTCCTGGTGGACAGGGCAGCCCAGAGGGGATGCGCCTGGCTGGGGACCACGTGGCTAACTGACCGTAACTGGTCTTTGCAAACAGCATGTTTCTCTCATGCTAAGATTCATGAGGATGGTGCCTCCCTCTCAATCACATATCCAAATGGTGGGCTGGAAAAAGACGCCCCAGACATCTTGAAAACCAACCGTGGTTTAGCTTAACCAGTCAAGAATGTCTGCCTCCACCAACCAGACTCCCCTAAGATTGATCTCTATGAGAATCAGGCTACACCCAGCCTACAGACAAGAGGACACTCCTAGTGGGTTATGAGTTAGACTGCTAACTGCACAGTCCACAGTTCGAAACCAACAGGTGCTCTGAGGGAGAAGGATGAGGCTCTCTGCTCCCTTAAAGAGTTACAGTCTAGGAAACACACAGGGGCAGTTCTGCCCTGTCCTGCAGGGTCGCTAGGAGTCAGAATCAACTCCCTGGCAGTGAGGAGGCTCAGGGGCCAGTGAGCTGGTGTTGATGGGGGAGAACGATTTGGAAAAGGAGGGTGACACAGCCCCCGAGAACATCACTGGTCCCCTGAGATGCATGCGCTTTGTTCGGTGGGCACGTGCTCTGCTGTGCATCTTCTGAACATCAACAACAAAATACATTATTTCCCCCCCAAATATAGGTTCATGGTTTCGGTCAGGAAGGCATGCCAGGTCTCCTCTGTGGACCGGGGTCCCCCGTGTCCTGCCCAGAGAAGTCCCCAAGAAGTTTGGCATAATTCTCACTGGGGACCCTGGTGAGCAAGATGTGAGGAGAGTTGGAAAGGAAAATGGGGTGTGGCCGAGAGGGAGTTGGGCTGTTCCCCTGCACCCAGGCGGTGGAGGGTGGAGGTTCCTCCCAGCCAGCACCAGTGCCCAGGGAGCCCAGTTCTGCCCAGGGTTTGGCTTGGCCCCGGCCCCACCCAGAGTGGCACCTGGGCAGGGCACCATGGAGAGAAGGCCTGCCCAGCCCCACCCTCACAAGGATACCGGTCTGGCAGGAGAGACAAAAACCGGGCATTAAATCCACGAAACCGTGAGGAACCCCAGAATCGGACCGGCTGGTTCACCCAGCCAGCCCCATGCAGGGGCCTGGGCAACCTTGGGAACCTTCCAGCCCTTATTTTTAATGGAAGGAGATGTAGTTTAATATGATGATAGATAAATATGCATGTTTGTATTATTGCAGGATGTTGCCTAAATAGATTAAGTCTCACCCCCACCATTTATTTTGAGAGAGAGAAAACAATCCCTAACTTATTCATTCACTTCCATTGTGCCTACTCTGATCCACAGCCACCCCACAGGGCAAGGTGGAATTGCCCCTGTGGATATCTGAGGCCGGAACTCTTTACCAGAGCAGAAAGCTTCATCTTTCTTTCTCGCAGCCACTTGTGGATTCGAACTTCCGACCTTGCAGGTAGCAGCCCATTGTGTATGTCACCCCACACCCAGCCTACAGACAAGAGGAAACACTGAGGCAGTGTTACCGCCCGCCCGTAGCCTCAGGAATTGATCACATTGTGGCTGCCTTAGCTTGTACTTGCTGTATTTGCTCTGATCCATTGAATCTGAACCATTTGAGACGAAGTAGCCATCACAATGACGCAAGACCCCAAACCCATTACAGTCCAGTTGAGCCTGACTCACGGAAACCCGTAGGGCAGCGTAGGGGTGCCCCGTAGGGTGTCCCAGGCTGTAAATCTTTACGGAAGCAGACAGCCTTGTTTTTTCCCACAGAGCTGCTCCTGGGTTCAAACCTCCAACCTTTTGACTCTGGTTGGGCCCTTAACCCTGTCATGTGCCATCCACCCTTCACTGTGTAGCTGAGGAGGACAAGGTCATTCGCCGCCCACCGAGCGCAATGTCAGTATCGCACTGGGGAAAGGAAACGTTCAAAGACTCATCTAATCCCACCGTGATGGAGTAGATTCTGACACATAGCACTCCTATATGGGGTTTCGGAGGCTGTAAGTCTTGATGGGAGCCCACAGCTTCATCCTTCTCACAGGGAGGAGCTAGTGGGTTTTGAACTGCCGACCTTGAGGTTAGCCTGCCAATGCGTATCCTACATCACCACCAGTGCTCCTTGTGATACAAACAAAACAAAACACTCACTGCCGTGGGGTCGATTGTAACTCAGAGCGATCCCAGGGGCTGGTTAAAGCTGCCCCGTGGGTTTCCCAGACTGGAATTCTTTACGGGACTAGGGAGCCTCACTTCTCCCAAGAGGCAGCTAGTGGTTTTCAACCTCTGACCTTGAGTCAGCACCCAACAGCTAACTAGCTCTCTCTCTGCTAGCACGGCTCCTATCGATGCAACAATATCTTAATCACAGTCAAATTTCCCCACTTACTCCTACCCCACAGCCTTCCAGTTGATTTTGAGTCACCGTGACTCCATTAGCAACCACTACAGCTGTCACCCCGTCCCCTACCACCCAGAATCCAATGAAACGTCACACATTTCATTGGTTATTGTGGGGTGCCAGGACGTCGATTTTGACTCAGAGGGACCCCACGTGATGGAGTGGAACAGGAGCTCCTCCCCAGAAGGTTTCCCCGGCTCAGCCTTAATCTTTACAGGAGCAGATGGAGTGGGCTTCCTCCCACGGAACCAGTGGGGCGTCTGCCATTTCATTGGCTGCCAGGATGCGTTCTGAAGCCGGAGGGCAGGTGCACGGGTGTTCCTGTATCGGTCTGGGGGCTTCTTTGTATTTCTCATGATGTGCAATGCTTCTCTGGGGCGCCCCTTACAGAGCTGCAGGTGTGAATCACGGAGAACATCCCCGTGCTTTCTATTGATGTCTGAACTAGGTGTGTCCCTCCGCCCGGAACTTGACTCTGTGCCCTGGTTTAGCACCTTTGGGGGACCCCTTCCTCAGGGGCCCCTCCTTGACCTGGGGGGTCGTTACAGACTGACAATGGGGGCAGCTGGGGCCCCAGGGTGCTTATCTGTCTTGGGGTTGTGGAGGCCGAGAGGGCCCTGCCTGCCCAGCTACTGAGGGTTGTGGGGAGGGGGAGGGAGGAAGAAGAGGAGAGCAAAGAGAAGGGACAGCCTTTCCAGGCTGCCCCCCTGCCCTCCTGGAGGTGGGCATTATCATCCCCACTTTGCACCAGAAGAAACGGAGGCTTGAACCTGGAAAGTAGAGCTAGCCACGTGCTGAGGACGGGCCGGAGCAGGGGACTGACTGTTGGGTGAGGTCAGTCCAGATGACAACACATGGGTGGGGGTGGGGGTGGCGGGTGCAGGGCCTCTGAGGGGCTGAGGGCTGTGGAAGCCCCCATCCAGCACAGGAGACTGGGTCCTGTTCTGCGTCTGATGAGACGCTTTGGTGAAGGATGATAAGAAGCAGGGGGACCAGCAGGGTCAAGGGTCAGCTTTGGGGCGTGTCACCTGCTTAACCTCCCAGAGTCTCGCAGGCTCCTATGCAGTGGGGTCCCGGAGGTCTGGGGGGTGGGGTGGGACAGCATACCCACACTGCACAGTCTTGTGTCCGCCATACTGGGTGTGTGGGTCGACGCTGGCAGGGTTGGCAGAGAGTGGGAAGCACCTGGGGGGTGGGGTGGCGTGCAAGGTTGGACAGAAGGGGGGCAGGTTCGGGAGCACTCACGTAGCCGCAGGCACGGCAGTGGTGGCGACGGCGCCTCAGGGCATTGAAGGGCTCCTGGCAGCGCATGCACATAGTCACCATCTTGTCCCGGACCCACTGCGGTGCCCGGAGGCCCAGCTCCTCCGACTGCAGCTGTTGGGGGAGGCAGAGGGTAGGGGTCATCAGGGTGCCCACTCCCAAGGCTCTGGGACCCACCATGGCCAATGGGGCATGTGCCTCCCACTGGCGTCCCCAGGACTCGGGCTAAGGGTGGAGGCGAGACAGGGTGGGCAGCCACTAGGATCCCTGTTGCACAGATGAGGAAACTTGAGGCCCAGACTAGTGACCCAGCAAGACAGTGTGCAGGGCTCAGACTGGAAATCAAGCCACAGACAATCGCCATGATCCCCCATCCCACAGTCCTCCCCCTTCCCGGTGTCCCCCGTTTCTCAGACACTTTCAAAGCCCATTCTACCCCGTGGTCCACAGCTGGGATGTAGATGGGGCCGGGTTTCAGGTTGGGGAGGGGGATCCCCAGGGGCAGGAGTTGTTTTGCTTTGCTAGTGGTAGAAGCTTTGCCACTGTCATCCCCGAGTGGGACGGGACGGTACTGAGGAGGGAAGGCACCTCCTGGCCCTTCAAATCACACCTGATAACAACACCCCCTCCCCTGACTCCTCCCGCCCCGAGCTGGCCTGGGCAGCGCAGAGAGAAAGAAGGAACCAGCGTGGTGACTCCAGCAGGGGATGCAGAGGTCTCCTCCATTTACCTCGAGCTCCCGGGCATCTCCCTCAGACCCCTGGACCGCAGCCTTGAAGCTTTCGTTCCGCTTCTCCGTTTGGTCAATGGCTGCCTGGCAGGCCTGGGGACAGAGCGCGTTGGGGCGGACTGCTCAGCCGCCCCTTCCTCAGACACCACCTAATGAGAGCCTACTGGGCACCGCCTCGGGGTGCCGCGCACACATTGGCTGACTTGACGGGGAGAAACTATTAGCTCCGTGCTACAGACACGAAAGCTGAGGTTCCGAGAGGCAAAGTGACTGGCCCCAGGCCTTCCAGCTATGCAGCGAGAGGGCGGCAAGATTTGAACTCAGGTCTGACACTAACAAGTGAGTCTTGTTAGGAAGAGCGGGGAGCAGCTGGATACACCCAGAGGGTACACACAGAATCACAGACACACACAGAGACACGCCGGCCCCTCTCCCGCAGCATGGGCGAGCTGACGGATCTTTAAGACAGCCACAGCCAATCGGGGCCCTGCCGTGTTCTGATACCTGCATCCAGGAAATCATTTCCTCCTGGGACCTGCTCAGAAAGTGAACACAGGGCTTCAGTGGGGCAGCTGCTCCAGCCTCCCCTCCCGGCGGCTCTCCCCTCCGCTTGCCCAGGCCCCGGGCAGCCTACCGGGCCTGCAGCTCCAGAGTGCGCTGTTTGCCGGACACCAGGAAAGCATGGGGGAACTCTGTGTCACTCAGCTCCCGCACCTGCATGGGGACGAAAAGGTGGGGTCAGGTCAGGCTTGCAGTGAAGAGAGAGGCAAGTGGAGCCATGGGGAGCGGGGACGGAAGCCTGTTCCCTGCTTCCCTCCTCTTCAGGAGCAAATCAAACATCCCTGCTCTGAGCAAGTGGGCTTATGACTGCTGGGATTTTAGGAGCCCAGTGGGCCCAGGGCAGGAGAGGGCGGGGTTTAGTTATCTAGAACTGCTAGAACAGAAACCCCACTCTTTGGCCCTCGCCCCCGAATGCATGTCCTCACTACAGGCCAAACACATTCACCCCATCGCCTCATCACGGAAGTCTTCAATCCACTCCAAACCCAAGACCACATCTTCGGAAGCACCTGAAGTCAAGTCTGGGTGGGACTTCAGGCCGAGCCCAGCCTGGGACAGACGTCTTCTTCCTCATTGAAGCCGTGAAAGCCAGGGCACAAGCTATCTGTTTCCAAAGGGCCAAGGCGGGATGGGCACAAGGGAGACAGACATGCCCATCACATGTGGGCGAGAGTGGAGGACAAAAAGGGCTAGCGGGCATCAAGCAAGTCTCAAACCCAGCAGAACAATTTCCCAGCGCTCCCAAGGCCTGAGCATAACTGAGACCACATGGGCAATGGTCTGCCCTCCAGATGCTGCCCGCTGGCCACGTCCTCTGGCTTCTGGGTGGAGGCCGCAAAGGAGGCTCTGGGTTTCAGCCCTGGCTTCCAGGGCTCTGGGCTAGCAATGCCATTCTCCCGTAGTTGATGGAGAGGTGGCCCCACCCCCTCTGCCCTGGCAAGACACGTTCTTCTGCCCCTTGGGCATGGCAGTCCCACCTCTTCAGCGTTGGGTGGTGGCCCCACCCCCGCCGGCACACCTTCATGACAGCCCTACATTCTGGAACCAATTTGGCACAGATTTGGTTCCGAAACCCAGGAAGCTCTGGCCCCACCCTTTGAAACTGAGAAAGTGCTGTCTGCTGCGTTTCCTCCGATGGCACTGCTGATCTCGGAGTACCTCTTGAGACATCCTTTCATTCTCTCGGAAGACACCAGATGTGACGCCCTCTGGCCTGGTTCCTGCCTGTGGAATTCCAAGAGGCAGACGGATTCTTTCCTTTTGTTCTCCTCTGTGCCCCCCTCTTAAGTTGAGGCCTCTCTGCTGTGGGAGTTGGTCAAGAGCCATTCGTCCCAGGCAGTCTCTTCAGCAAACGGTTGGGTCACACAAAGCCACATCCTTGGTGTGAATCCTGAGACATGTGTCCTTGGTTTGTACAATTGAATTTTGCAAATCTTCAGGTTCCATGGTCATCTCAGACGAACATTTCAATATAGTTCAGACAAATTATTTGCCACCGCATCAAAAGCACCACCCTTCCCCCATCGCCCAATCACAGGCCCGCCATTTTCTTTGACAGCCCTTACCAGAAGCACATCCGGTGTCTACATGTCGAACAATATTACAGGGGCCACACATATTCTCTAAGGTGACAGAAACTCGTTCTTTATAGCACTTCTCATTCCCTTCTCTGCCCTCAGCAGATTCGCCTCGGACACTTCTCATTCAACCCACAGTCTTAGCTGTCAGTCACCTGACAAATCTTCCAGCCTCGGCCCAGTACCCAGTGTGCAAACTGCCGACACGTCTTAGGTAAGTGAGACCAGCAGTCCCCTTACTGACCAGATTCCCTCTGGGTCATCCACGGCTGTTATTATAACAAGAGCGCCACAGTGGATGGTTTTCACAAGCAGACGTTGATTTGCGGAGGTTTTATTCCTCTGGGGGCCCTGGAGGAAGGTCTGTGTCTCTCTGAGGATGGATCTCCAGGTGGCTTGGCTTCTCCTGTCCCCTGCTCTGCTTGCTGGCTTGCTTGTTTCATCTCTTGCAGGTCTCAAAGGAGGTTGACGGCAGACACATTCTGCACGAATCCTACCTTGTTCGCAACAAAGACAACCCACTCCCAGATGGGATTATATCCGCGGGCATACAGGTTAGGGGCTTCAACACATATTCTGGGGAGAGATCATTTAATCCGTAACCCTGGGAGGGATGGCTCTCGATGAAGGATTTTTATCAAAAAGGAAACTTGGGCCTCAAAACTGGATTTGAACACACAACAGCTTTTCAAGAGCAGGCCCCAAACTGCAGAGAACAACACACAGGCATCAAGTCCATTCTGACCCATAGCAAGCCCAGAGGGCAGGGTAGAACTGCCCCTGTGAGTCCCAGACCAACTTTTTACCGGAGTCGAAGACCTCCTCTTTCTCCGGTGGAGCGGCTGGTGGTTTCCAACTGCCGACCTCACGGTTAGCAGCTCAGCTCATAACCACTAGGCCACCAGGGCTCTGAGAGCAGGTGCAGGGCCTAGAACCCAGAATATACCCCATCCCCACCCCCAACACACTTATACACACACATCCCAGATTGTAACTGAAGGAGCTGGTCACCCAATTCATAGATCAGATTTCCTATGTCTGAGCTTCTCCCGTCCTCTTGTCCCAGCTCCAGGGGTCCTGCGGTCACCAAGAAAGATACCAATCATGGAGCCCTCACTGCGTGACGGGCACCGAGCACATGGATCTCCGTGCATCTTGTCATTTAATTAGCACACCGCTCAAACCTACTGTCCATCTTCACCTCCCCCGGCAGACATGCAGCAGATATATGTGACCCTTAAGGGGAGATCCTACCACAAGCTATTCAGTCGTCTTGTACCATGGAATCTGAGCAAGTCTCAGGATTATCTGCCAATTCACAGGAGCTATGGGAGACAGAAGCCAAACAAACTCACTGCCATCAAGTCTATTGTGGTCTAACGGGACCCTACAGAACAGAGTGGAACGCCCCGTGGGTTTCTGAGACGGTAAATCTTTACAGAAGAGAACGCCTCATTGTGCTCCCTTGGTAGGTTTGAACTGCAGACCTTGTGATTGACAGTTCAGAAAGTAACCCACTGTGCCACCAGAGCTCCCGCTGTGAAACAGAGCACACGTTAAAGGACATGTGCGGGGAAACAGTGCCGTCTGCAAGATGCAGACTGTGGACACCCATAACCGAGAGATGGCCAGTGCTGCTTGCCACTGAGTCCAGCCCAGCTCGTGGTGACTCCCGGCACCACTGGATCAGAACACAGGGATCCACAGGACTTCTGCTGGCTGTCTGCTTTAATCCGGAAGCTCCACTGAGCCCTGCCCAACTTCACCACAACACACAAGCCTCCACAGCACGGACAGGGGGTGACCGCCCAGGAGGTGCATGGGCTGGGATCTGAACCCAGCTCTCCCACGTGGAAGACTAGCATTCAACCTCTGGAACACCACCATTGATGATAACAAATAGCACCCCCCAAAACAACCCCCAAACAAAACAACAACAGAGAAGGGAGCGTAGCCGATTAAAAGAAAACGTGGGGACATGTCACAAAGGATTTCAAGGGATTAGCTGAGAGGAGTTCTCGTACTGGCCCATCTGTTCCCTCGTTCCTCTCCCTCACCTCACGGCAGGCTAGTTCACCTCCGGCCCCTCGGTGTGCTTCCTCTACAAGGGGCCGATGTGCTCTGGTCACGGGGAGACGTTGCCGGTTTATCCACAGAGAAGGCCATGTGAAGAGCGGGGCTTGGGGACAGCCAGCCAGCCATTATGCCCGCCGGTTGGGCCAAAGGACTACAGCTGGGGAAACAGGAACCAGCCTGTCTCCCAAGTCCAGTTTGGAAATGGTTGCAGGCTGCCCGGTCCTGCTCTGGAGTGACTGCACTTAGAGAGAGAAGGGGTCCCAGCTGGGGGCCGATGCCAGGGGGTCTGGCCAGATATGGGGGCTAGTTGGGTGTGGGAGATGACAGAGGAAACAGAAGGGGAGAGGGAAGGTCTGAAGCCCAGAACACGCTGCATCAGAATCGGTTCTGACGTAGAGCGGCCCTGCAGGACAGAGGAGAGTGGTCTTCACAGGGTTACCAAGGCTGTCCGTCTTTCTGCAAGCAGTCTGCCACAGCGCTCTCCACAGGAGTGACTGGGGGGTTCAAACCGCTGATCTCTTGGTTAGCAGCCAAGTGCTGTCTTTGATCCTAAAAACGGAGCCCTGGTGGTGTCGTGGTTACGTGTTGGGCTTCGATCCGCATGGTCAGCAGTTCTAAACCACCAGCAGCACAGAGGGAGAAAGACTGGGCTTTCTACTCCCGTATAAGCAGTGAGCATCTCAGCGGCGACAGCGGGTTACTACAGGTCAGCACTGACTGGATGGCCGTGAGGGAGGGAGCCTAAAATACAGTACTGACACCTGTCGTTGTCGAATGGGCACAAAACCCAGATTGTGTTGGAGTTAGACACTGCCACCTGTCGGGCAATGCTCATTATAAATCTCCGATGATTTCTTCATCACTCAAGACGAGGCTTTCTGCTCCTGTAAAGAGTTTCGGTCTCAGAAACCCACAGGGCTGGTACAGCCTGTCCCAGAGGGTCCGCTGTGAGTCAGCACCGCCCGACGGCAGTGAGTAATGTGAGTAATCGCCGATGTCTGCTGGGGCTGGCGCTCTCTGAGGGGCAGAGTCCCTGTGCCGTGTGCAGCCTGCACAGCCGGAAGGGGAGACCTTACTTGGCTCCGGTCCTTGCCGGCTGGCTCGGAGGAGGATGGCATACGGCCAGGGCCAGGCTAGCTCTTGAGGAGGCTCGGCTGCTGAGAACTAGACCTTTCTGACTTCCAACAAGGGCGCCCCCAAAGTGGGTCCAAAGTCAGCTCTAACGTTGGACTTCAGACTCAGAAAAGGGTCCCCAGAAATTTGCTGGGCCGCAGGCAGGTCTGCTTCGGCCATTCTCATGCCGTCCAGGAGAGGGTGCTGTGCACCCATCGGACGTTGACTGACGCGCCTCTCACTGCCATCCAAACGGTTGTGACCCTGGGACTCCATAGATTAGAGCAGAACTGTCCCCGTGGGTCTCCGAGGCTGTAACTCTTTGTGAGAGTAGGAAGCTCTTTCTCCCAAGGTGGTTTCAAACTGCTGACGATGCAGTTAGCAGCTCGACCCGTAACCACTTCTGCACCAGGGCTCCTAGCCAGTCTCTCTTTTCTCTTGTACGACTCAACTTTGGAAAGTACTTCTCCGCTTCTCTCTGCTAATCACTGCCTCTCTTTTTCTGGGTCTGGGTCTCTCTCTCTCTCTCTCTCTCAACAGGGCTGCCTGCCTCGGCTCCCTGTCTGTAGCTCTTGATATAAACCTGCCTTTCTTGGTCTCCCCAAGGCCTCAGACACACAAGCCCGCACATGCCCTGCCCTCTGTAACAGCCCAGCTTCCCCGAGGATGGGAAGCTGGGTGCCGCCTGGATTGGGTTACACTTTTGGATGGGTGAGGCCTGAGCTATCAGTTGCCAGGAAGTCCTCAAGCCCTCACCAGCCCCCTCCTTCTCCTACTTCACCTCAGCCCCAGACCCCTCACTCAGCCTCAAGTGTCAGGTGATCCCAGGCAAGCGGGGGTTCTCAGAGGCCCCTGCCTGCAGCTCCCTCCTGGAGCTGGCCCTGGGGCATAGCACTGCCTTGGAGTCTGCTAACTTCTTGGGTTTTAATCTTGGGTTGGTCACTCAAACCAGGATTTGGGGTGTGACCCCAAGTAAGTGACTTGCCCTTTCTGGACCTGGCCTTCCTGATCATAAAACAGGGGGTTCACTGTGGATGTAGTCACACCTGTGCAAGCTGCACGGTGTTCCCCGCTGCACTCTGGTTTGCTTGCGGCGGCCGCTCCTCCGGGGAACAAGGAGGAAATCCTGCTCATCGTGTAACACAATTAAAGCCTAGGGATTCATCACAAAACAACCTGTAATTATGTAGTGAAATATTTATGGGGTTGCCGGTGGTCTTAGGCGACCCCCAAAGGGTTGGCGACCCACAGGTTGAGAACCGCTGCCCTGGAGGGTCCCTCCCGTCAGCTTAAACTCGAAGGCAGTGGATTTTGGCTTGGGTTGATTAGAAACAGCCTTGACACGCACCATGAGGGGACGGAGTCCCTGGGTGACTTAAGCACACAAGGCCCCGAGCGGGAAGGCTGGGAGTTTGAGTCCACCCTGGGGTGCCTGAAAAGACAGCCCTGGCGATCCACCTGCAGTAAAACAGCCACTGAAGCCCACAGGGCACAATTCTGCTGAGACACACATGGGCTCACTCTGAGCCGGAACCAACTTGACAACGACAACAACAACGACGACGACAACTCTGGAAAGGTGGCTTGGTGGCGCAGAAGTGAAGCTAGGGCAGAGGCTTGCAGTTTGCACCCACCAGCGGCGGTCCTGCAGGGGAAAGCTGGGGCGGCCTGCTTCTGTGAAGATGCGCTCTGGGGCAGCTCCACTCCGTCCCTTAGGCTGCCTGTGAGTCAGAGTCGGCTCACGGGTCAGGGAACGGTTTTCCGTTTAGATGTTTCACAGCCGGGGACCTGTCGAATGAATGGCAGTCTACCCACCCGGTGGGAGTTTGCAGCCACGCAAAAGGATGAGGCAGCTCTTCCAGTCCAGATATGAAACCATCTCAGTCGTTCCTTAAAACAAGCCAAGTGCAGAATAGCCCTTAGAGTGTGCTGGGGGTTGACGGGACACGAGAAGGGGGGACGAAGACCAAAGAGACGGCTCGTGTGTGCAAAGCCGACCTCCGGAGGCCTCACAAGAAGCAGCGGCTGTCTTTGGGAAGGGGAACAGGGCACCACGTTGGGAAGAGACCCTCCATTAGAGATCGCTTATAATATTGGATTCTGAAATGTGACAGTGGGTTGTGCATGGTCTATATTTTTTAATAAGAACATTAAAATTAATTTAATAAAATAAAATTAAATTTATGTTTAAATTTATTGTCATCAATGATGACAGCAGAGCCTACAGCCCCTGCCTCGGGTGGTGGGGATCTTCTGAGAGGGCAGGAGCAGGTCTGGCCCAAGGGCCCCGTGATGGACTGCCAGCCCTGCTCATCGGGCGGCAGTCTCCGGGTGGGCACAGACCGGCGCCTGTAGCTGAACAGGCAGCGTAGAGCCTTCCCATTCAATGTGTGGCCCGCGGGCCTGCAGCATCAGCACCACCAGTCCAAGGCCCTGGTCCAGACCCATCAAACCAGAGTCTGGATTGTAACAAGGGGCCTGGGGGATCTGCACCCATGCTGGAGTCTGAGAATCACTGAGGGAATTTAGGCACAGTGTGCGCTGTCCCAAAGAGTGGGCCAGCCAGCGGGCAACTGGGAGAGGCTCTAGCCAGGAGGGAGGGAAGTATTCTAACCCCAAACTGTTGCATCTCCAAATTTGTGCAGGACCTGCCACCTGGGTCCCTGCATTGAAATTCTGCTTGGGCCCCTCCTGCTCTTCCCTAAACTCATTCCTACCCTGGGGCTGAAGTGTGGCACCATATTTTGATTATTTTCCCCGTGTGTGTGTGTGTGTGTGTGTGTGTGTGTGTGTGTGTGATTGTTCATTTTACCTATTTGGCTAGGCTCTGATTCTCAGTGGCTTGGCAGACACTAGACTGTTTAGTGTCCCAGAATGTAATGTAATGTAATGTAATGTAATGTAATGTAATGTAATGTAATGTACTGTAATGTAACATAACATAACATAATGTAATGTAACATAATGTATTGATCTTCTATGGTGTGAACTGATGTGATCAGCCCATCAGCTGAAAGGGATGTTTCTTTGAAGGTGTGGCTTTAGACTATAAGCAGACGTTTAGCAAGCCCACTCTGCATTCTTCCTCTCACCTGACCTCTGGTTCTTGGGATGCAAGCTTGTAGAAGTCTTCAGCTCACCACCTGAACTATGGATTTGAGACTTGCCAGCCTTCGTGATTGTGTGAACCATTCTCTCCAAGTGAATCTCTCTCTCGTGTATATGTGTGTGTGTGTCACATATACATATACACATATACATATACATAAACGTATACGTGCTGTTGCTAGGTGCTATTGAGCAACTATGTCTAACAGAAGAAACACTGCCCGGTCCTGCACCGTCCTAACAATTGTTGTTTAGTTTGACCCGTTGCTGCAGCGACTGTCTCTATTCATCTTGCTGAGGGTCTCCATGCTCCCCTGACCCTCTGCTTTACCACGGATGATGGTCTCTCCTGATAACATGTCCCAAGTCTCGCCGCCCTCACCCTGAAGGGGCAGTCTGGCTGGACTTCTTCCAAGACAGATTTATTTGATTTTGTTTTTGTTTGGGGGCAGTCCATGATCCTTCCAATATTCTTCACCAGCACTATAATTCGAATGCGTCGATTAATCTTTGTTTTGTCTTATTCAATGTCCGACTTGCATATGAGGCGAGTGAAAATACCATGGCTTGGGTCAGGTCCACTTGAGCCCTCAAAGTAACATCCTGGCTTTTCAACTCTTGTAAGAGGTCTTGGGAAGCCGATTCACCCAATGCAAGGTGTCCTTTGAGCTCTGGACTGCTGTTTCCATGAGCATTGATCTTGGATGAGCATTGAGCTTGGATTCAAGCAAGATGAAATCCCTGGAAGCTTTCATCTTTTCTCCATTGGGCACGGTGTGACTGATTGATCCAGGCGTGAGGATTTGGGTCTTCGTGACATTGAGTTGTAATCCATCCGGAAGGCTGCAATCTCTGATCTTCATCAGTTAGTGCTTCTAGCCCCCTCACTTTCAGCAAGCAAGGTTGTACCCCTGCATATCACAGCTGGTTAATAAGCCTTTCTCCCATCCTGATGCCCCATTCTTCTTCATATAGTCCAGCCTCTGTGACAATTTGCACAGTATACTGATTGAATAAGTCTGGTGAGATGATACAACCCTGATGCACACCTTCCCTGATTTTAGACCATGCAGTGCGCCCTTGTTCTGTTTGCACAACTGCCTCTTGATCTGTGCACAGATCCTGCATGAGCACAGTAAAGTGTTCTGGAATTCCCATTCCCATCTCTCTCAAGGCTATGCAGCATTTGTTAGGATCCACATAGTGGATTGCCTTAGCATAGTCAATGATAGTCAATAAAACACGAGAAACATCTTTCTGGTTCTCTGCTTTCATCCAAGACCCTTCTAACGTCAGCAGTGACACCCATACACATTTTCACAGCCTCATCTTTCCCCCAACCTCGCAGTTGGCAGTGCAACGGTCAGTCCACAGCACCACCATGTCTGCAGTGCCAGTGAGTGGATGCCGACTCATTGCAACCCCGCATAGGGGTTCTGAGACTATAAATCTTTGCGGGAGCAGACGGCCTCATCTTTCTCCCATCGGGCAGCTGGTGAATTTACACCTTGGACATTGTGGTG